GAAAAGCGCCGGGGGAAGCCGGCGGGGGGGGCATCCCAGGCGCGCATGGGCTGCCCCCCCGCCGGAGGTGCCTCTGGTCTGCTGGGGACCATCTCCAGCAGACCAGGGACACCGGGAGCAAAGGAGGCGGAGGGGCGCTGGGGTATAAGATGAAACCCTATCTTTTAATTAAAAAGATAGGGGGTCGTCTTATACACCCAGTCGCCCTATACGCCGGAAAATACGGTACACATTTAAGCAATTATACAGCTTAATTTATCTTAATGGAGATTCTTAACGTAATCATTTGTCCATAAAAATGCGGTTTTTGTCTAGTGATAGAAATGTAGCCATGTTAGTCTGGTGTAGCTGAAGCAAAATACAGGACTATGTGTATCCTTTGGTATATATGGTTGTGACTATTTTCTTCCACTATTTGATCTGAGGAAGTGGGTCTGGCCCACGAAAAGCTCATCCCCTAATAAACCATCTTGTTAGTCTTTAAAGTGCTACATAATCCTGTATTTTGGTTTTTGTCTGTCATTTTTATCAAGCTCACATTTTAAATGAATTCCACAAACAAAAACAGCATTTTACATTTTAGCTATTAAATAGGACTACCTTAAATGTATCAAATACATAAGAAAAAAGTTTAATAATGCTTTGCATTTGAAACTAGCTGACTTATTAAAACAAGGAAATATTATCTGCAGTTAGTGAACAGATATGAATATTTCTGGTGACCATGTCCTTCAAGTTCTCAGGACCAGTAGATCTCATCTTCCCATACCCAATTTTAATTGCTACATTGGGAGAGGAAGACAAACGTTCCTGCTTTTTCCTTCTTAACTTTGATTGAACTATTTTAATAAACTAAAATTTGAACAGTTAGCCCCTCTTCTACAGGTGCAGAATCTGCTGTCAAAATCTGGCTTAGCACTTGAACAAGTTTTGGCTCCAGATGCTTAGTGACAAACTTACAGTTCAGAGGTCTGACTTTCTTTGGAACTCAGCAGCACCCAGGATACCGAGGACTGAACATCCTGGTTGTTTGTACAGCTCATGTTAACATTGTAACCCATGCAGCACATGTTGGGTATGTCTGCTCAATAGGATTCTCTCTCTACTAAAACATAACTGCCATAAACCTCAGTATGGGATTTCCATGACATGTGAATCCCAAAGCACTTATCAGAATGGAGACAGCATGGGCATAAAGCACATCCATCTCAGGGACTAGAGACATACATACTTTTACTGTCCAACAGAGATACCGAAATTCTACTCTGATTTTTAATGCAAAAATCAAGAACAAATCTATACCTGCTGAGTTAGTCACAATTAACCAAGACAGAACAATTTAAATGTTAGTCCATTGTACTTGAGGGCTGTGTCTAGACTGGCATGATTTTCCGGAAATACTTTTAACGGAAAAGTTTTCCGTTAAAAGCATTTTTGGAACAGAGCGTCCAGATTGGCATGGACGCTTTTCCGCAAAAGCACTTTTTGCGGAAAAGCGTCTGTGGCCAATGTAGACGCGCTTTTCCGGAAAAGACTACTGGGCTGTCTACACTGGCCCTTTTCCAGAACAGTGTTCTGGAATAAGG